TACTGATCGTGAAGTCAGACCCTGTAAAATGTTCCAGGGAATTCCTGTCAGCCCCATCGACCAAAATTTAAACATAATATTTCCAAATACAGCTCACTGAAATTGATGGGTTTTTGCAGCTCACCTTTGATAAGGAGTAGGATGAGCGGTTGGCCGGCCTGGAGGTGTGAGAGTCGGGCGTGTACTGATACTGCTGTAAAGTAAACATGGCCGTGGAGTCGAGCCAGGGAGGTACTGCAGACTTACAGCAGGAAGGCTGGGCTGCTGCAGTATCCAGCCAAAGGTGTCAGGATTAATGACCGGGCTTATGTACTGTTCAGCCTGATCTGGCCCAGGTAAATGCAGGAGGAAGGTCTGAAATGTGTTAAAGCAGCTCGCTTAGAATCCTCTGTGTGGGGGGCGGAGCTGTGACATGGCAGTGCCGCCCCAATTCAGGGTGTTGGAGTAGCCGGTGTGCGTAGATCAGAGGAGATTGTGTGTGTGCAAGTGTGTGTGCTTGTGTGCGTATGTGGATGTGTGTATGTATGTGAGTGTGTGTGTGTGCGTGTGTGTGTGGGTGTGAATATGTGTGTGTGTGTATGTGTGTGTATATGTGAATGTGTGTGTGTACGTGTGTGTGTGTGGGTGTGTGTGTGTGTGTGTGTATGTGAATGTGTGTGTGTGCACGTGTGTTTATGTGGGCATATGTGTGTGTGTATATGTGAATGTGTGTGTGTGCACGTGTGTTTGTGTGGGTGTATATGTGTGTGTGTGTGGGTGTATGTGTGTGTGTGTGGGTGTATGTGTGTGTGTGTGGGTGTATGTGTGTGTGTGTGGGTGTGTGTGTGTGTGTGTGTGTATATGTGTGTGTGTGTGGGTGTATGTGTGTATATGTGAATGTGTGTCTGTGCGCGTGTGTTTGTGTGTATATGTGTGTATGTGTGTGCAGATATGGGGGGGGGGGTGTTGTGAGACCATGCAGGATAATTCCAGAGAACAACCTCTGTATGTCAGTCATGAATTAGCCAGAAGTCAGAGGTTATGTCACATTCGTTGTTCATCCAGACAGATCTTTAAAAAGTCTGTCTCGCTCGTCACCTTCCCCCGCTGTAGCTTTAGCGATTCCTTCCCCGTATGACGGTGCTTGGCTGCCTTTCGTCTTACAATAACACTGCTGGAGCATTAATCCCCGAGAATGACGTATATCCAGGAGCGACTCTGCTCCTGCCGTCTCCTTATTTGTGTTATATGTTTGGCAATAATGCTTTTTATGAATTTCATTCCTTTTTAGTATTGTCCCCCAAACTCCGAAAGCCAAACATTCCCACTGTTTACATCCATAACCTTTTTTTTCCAGGATTTGATCCAAAAACTTCACCTTCATCTGACGTTGAAGACATATTTTTTGTTTGCGGCGAGAGTATTAAACGGGCTCAGGATGTTGAGTCGTAAGGACAACATCAAGGCACTCTGTTTTCCGAGATGTCATCACACAAGAAAGTAATATATAAGAAAACAACCATCGTCCCATAAATCAAACAGTTTTGTATGTGGTTAAATATAACATCTCATTTAATCAAAACAAAGTAAAACTGTTATATCATTAAATGAAAGCAGATTAAAGCCATCTTTGAGACTGAAATGCATTTCAGTGGTACAGATATATGTATACATATAGTGTGTGTGTGTGTATGCCTATGTTACAGTGGACTTACCAGAGAATTTGTCAGAAATCGTCCTGACACTGAAATATTTGTCAAACTGACATTTAGCGGCTTGTAACTTTTTTCATGTCCTTTAGCCTGTTTTATTTTTTGTCTGTTTGTTTTTACTTACATTAGTGTTGCATTTTGTGTTCTGTTCCAGTAGGCCAACCAGTTATTCTGTATATGTAATAATCAGAGGCGATTCTAGGGACTCCGGGGGCCCTCCAGCTCCCCCTGCCCTCCCCCAGCATGGTAAAATTTATTGCCTTTATTTTACTGTGAACCGTTAATAATATCAACAACGAGAATTCAATAAACACAAGTCCTTTATTTTCACTTTATTGTGAAAAACAGAATACACAAATAAAGCATATTTGTCGTTGCGATGTAGGCTACTGTCGTTGCAATGCCATCGCTTGCCTTGCCTGTCCCTATGCCTGTGGTAATAAACCAGTATAAATCTTTTTGCGTATAATATACTTTGATACGCAGACGTAGGCAAATGCACGGGAATTCTGAGTGGATGCGTCTCTGCTGCCGGGGATCTGGGAACGTGCTACTGTACCGTGTGAATTTACCGCTGTAATAAATGACTATGTGTATGTCTGTGTTACCTGACTGAGTTCTCGTATCGGTGCGTCTTTTTCGGTGACATCCATCAGATAAAAATGACCCCCCTCCTTCCGATAGCCAGTGCTCTCGTCCCCATCACCCTCCTCCGCTTTTATCATAGCAGAGATGGCAATTCAGACGCTCCCACCTGGGCCCGAGTGCGCGCAAGCACCTAGTCGACATTCCGATGCTAAAACCGAGGTGCGCATTTTAAAATCAAAATCCGGCTTTATTTGTTTTTAGCTGAATTTGACGCAGGGGAGAAGCAGGAAGCGAACATAAAACCGCCTGGGTGGTCTGCCCATGTCAGGTGACTGCGTTAAGAAAACGCTGCCCTTCATCTGCGGCACATGGCGAGTTTAAATCAGTGATATGCGCTTTTTCCATGAAATAAACGTTTGGCACCGAGGGCCACGTAATTTCGCAGGTTTAAATGAGCCTTGCAAATGGCCAGTGTTCGTTCAATACATTTTTCAGCCTCATCATTACGGCCTGCACACGTTGTATGGGTCTTTTTATTAGCCACACATGTTTCAGTCTAATATTCAGGCGTTTGTGCTTGGGTACAATTTTGTTTTTATTTCCTTCGTTTGTTGGTATTTAAGACCGATTTTCTTTCGAGGAACGAACCGCATTAGACCGGTAAGAAACCAATTCACATTTGTCGATGCGAGACTATCGATGCAGAAATTTTGTACAACCACGTATACTATTTACAGCATAATGAACTTTCCTTATTAATATAATTCGTTTCGTAAAAGTACTATTTTTATTGCAGTTTAACCCATGATGTATTAACAACGATCTGAAGTATGGAAATCAATTTTAAAAAGGAGAGGAAAATTAAAACTTATTTACTCAAATCCTTATTAAATTCAGTTTATAATGGCAAATAAGTATAGACAGATTAAATGTATATAAATAAACAACGTCGCAGATTGACGGCCATAATTTATTATAATAGACTATACCGTGCCCAGCAAATGATCATCATGCTTGCCGAACGCTGTGCTATTGTGTATTTACAAACAAAAACGCTGTTTGTTTTGCCAGTGTGTGTGAACCGGAGTGCAGTGCCGCTGTTTCTGACGATGGCTTCAGGGCGAAAAACGGCTCCCCGGGTTTATACTGCTATTCGGATTCAGGAAACAATTTTTAAAACTTGTTCTGATAAATGAATGTACATATTTTGGGAAAGGCCGAGGGTCATTTTGTGTAATAAACAAAGCCTTTTATAATGTCGAGCAGACACTTAGGCGGACTTGGAATCCCTGTATTTTCCCCTGGTCTTCAAACCAAAGCCATTTTTAATTGAGTCTTTGGACATTTGGCACACATGGACAATCCTTTAGCCAATTTTTATTCCTCTATGTATATTAAAAACATTCTCCTTTAATCTTTTAAATGGATCAATGTCTTGTATAACGAAGCACGAACGCTTTAAAGGACGCCTTCGGAAAACGACTCGTTTTTAATCCTTGACAGTTGATCTTAATCATAAAGAATGCCGTTTGCTGAATCTCATTTTCGGAAGGCGAAATGATTATTTTTATTTATTGTTTTTGGTAATTTTATATATATATTGATTATCTTTATCGTCCGTGTCTAGTATATATTCTCTGATATGGTCTCATGAGAAAACGCGGTGATCACGGGTCGGTGCCGGTTCTGGTCCGGGATGGGAAGCCGCACCGACCATAACCTCAAACACACTGTCCATCTAAGACAAACTGTTTCCCTCAAGCCTTGTCCTTTAGTCAGCTGCCAGAGCCGGGATTTCATATTGTGCAATTTCACTTGTGCTCGTTTTACAAGAATCATCTGCTCCGCGTTCTGGGAGACATTTCTCAACCAAGAATAAATAAAGCCATGAAATCGTTAGGAAATTAAAAGAACCATTCAAAACAAAGCTTGTATGTTATTTAACAGATATCAAAACGGGTGCTGCATTATATTTTGATGTAATGTAGCAGAGGGATGCTTTTATGAAACTAAGGGACCCGAATAATTATTTTTTCATTAACATGATTGTGCGCTTATTGGTGCTTCAGTACATCAGTCCAAAGTGCCCAGCGAGAGGCTCTAGGACAGCGTTCCCCCAACCACCCCAGCCCCCCCCCTCCCCCCGGCACGGTTCCAGCCTCTCTCGGTACATTAGACGCAATTGAACACAACTCTCCACGTTTCAGGGGGCAGTAAAGTTGTTTTTTCTTTTTTTATTATGATACTTTATTTCTAATGACTTATTCAGCTAGTTTATTGAGGATTGGTCAAGGGAGAGGCGGCAGAGAGAGGAAATGAATTTGCCTAAGCACAGATGTTTTTTAGAGCTAAGGCTGCATGACAAATGTGCGCTACCCCGAGGCTCAAAGGTTTAATATCACAAATTGGAAAGTAGCGCCGGGATACTCGCTTTGTGGCCGCCCTACATCTAGGTTCGTACAAAATGTCATAAATACGTGACATGAAAAGCGACTTTTAACTTTTACGTCCTTTTCAGGCTTCGTCCCCGCTGAGGGCGCGTCAGCTCTCGTCTTCCGCGCGTGTGCGCGCTCGCGACGGCGCGTCCTCGCCTGGTCTTCGGAGTCACTCGTTCTTGTGGACCGCGGCGTCCGGTTGCGTTAACCTTCAGCTTGAACCTCACCCGGCGGCCATCTCTCCTTCTGCTTCTCATTTTGTTTAATGATGGAGGCCTTTGGTCTGTTTTTCTAGAAAAAAAATCCTTTTCCTTTTTTTTTCTCATCCTCCTACCACGCGCATGCCTGTGTACCGTAAATGTTTACGTCCAAACAACTTTCAGTACGTTGCTCTGTCATCATGTCCATATTTTGCTGGTGCTAACAGATCCTAGGCAGTAAGTGAAAACTAAAATAAACTCTACTACACAAATGCGTGGTTACTGGACATATTCAGAAATGAAACAGGTCTCATCTAGACAGACGGGAGCAGGTGTCCGACTGGCCTTTTTAAAACGTTAAATTTGAAATAATCGCAAAAGGTAAAACACCACTGGGGAGTGACATTGAGTGATGTCGGGGGTTTGTAATTGCGGGTTAAGTGAAAAAAAAAAACATATTAAAGGAGTTTTTACAGGTAAAAGGTGCACGTGAGTCGGGCAGCGTCATTCCAATCTGCAAAACGTCCAGACTGTCAGACGTGCAGCAATCAGCCTGTTTTAATCTGACGTTTTATCTGACGTTTTTATGGCGGTAGCTCTGCGCAGGAAGGAATGCGGTTTGACTAAAAGCTGCGATTGATATTGTTGCGGCTCAGGTGACGTGTTTGAAGCGGCGCCCAGGCAGACGGTCAGAGGGGGTGTGTCCTTATTATCAAAGCACCGTCGCTGTCACTGTCACCGGGCTCTGTGGGGGGCACTGAGCTCGTCCCGTCATGCACCACTGGCCCGGAAGGGACAATGATAGCCGCCTTGATCTGAGTCCCTGTCCCTCTGTTATCTCAGACAGAACCAGAGGCTTATCCGAACGGGTCAGCTGCTCCGCGCCGCTTCCTGGACAACCGAAAGGGTAGGAAGAAAAGACTCATGGGACAGGAAGACGGCTGAAAGCTTGCTTCTCTCCCACGAATTTAAGAGAATAGAGACCTTTACAAATCAGAGATTCCCTAGATTAAAACATAATATGAGGTGAACAGGGGTGTAGGAACAGAAGGGTGTGTGTGTGTGTGTGTGTGTGTGGGGGGGGGGGGTGCACCCTCCAATATTTAATTTGGCTTCATTCCACACCATTATATTTAAATTAATATTGTGCCCCCCCTCCCAATATCAAACTCTGTCTTGTGTCGTTGGAGGTTTTAAACAAACTAGAAAACCATAATCTGCCGCATTGAGAGAGGGGGAGAGAGAGAAGGACGAGTCTTTTCAGTTGCCATGAGACACCATCGCCCTTATCTGTGTCTCCGTTCCTCCCGGGACTCTGGTATATTCATATACTCTGGTACATGGCTGTGTATTCATGCAGCGGCGCTCCAGTGCAGTGCTCCTTTTAAAAAGGTCACCCCAGGGAGTGAACCTACTTGCTCCGTATTTATGTACATTAGCGGTGCGTGTTTGAGCCGTGGGATCCTACCGTTGGCAGGCTGAGCGAGGCCGGTGCTGCCTCCTCTGGCGCCGCAGTGCAAGCTGGGATTGTTTACTGCGCCCCGTCGCTCGGCAGGCCGACCCTGGCCGTATTGTAAACACACAAATCCACCCTGAAATGAGGGAGAGGAGGGAGCGGGGAGGTAGAGGAGGATGAAGGGCACAGCTTGAAAATGAAACGCAGCGCTGGCACAGATGTCTCACAAGCGAGGCACGCCTTGAGGCAAGCCTAAAATGGGGAACCCTGGTGCATTGTGGGATTGGCCTGCACAGTTGACCTGGGGGTCGTGAACGATCGGGTTGCTTGCAATATAGTTGAATCATTATATCACTGAATCGCATGAGGACCTCAACAGGTTGTGGAGTCTATCTTGTGAATAGGATGGGATGCTTCAAGGTTCCTGAGATCCAGGAATGCCCCCAGGGCAGAAGATCTCATATGGGCTTCATCTTTGTTACTTTTTTTGGGGAGTCGGGGTGGGGGGTGGTGTTTTATTCCTGGGGGGTACTGTGAAAGGCATGCATCCACGTTTTGGATGTGCCAAGCAGCACAGCAAGCAGGATCACATTAGACGTGAGGCTTGGAAGGCCTCGATAATTTACAAAGAAAAGTCTTCAAAGTCTCTTTGAAATCCCCCCCCCCCACTAATAAGCATGTAGTCACACACCACACACACACACACATGTACACACACACAGGTCCGTTTCCATGCCAGTGTTCAGCGAGAATGCCCAGGCAGGTGACCACCGGCTGGCACTGGGCATGGCTCACTATAGATCATGCTTGGTGTCATTTGTTTATTCTTAACATACACAGACATATGCCCACCCCCCATCTCCCATCCTCAGAGGCGTGACAACCGCGTTCAGCCTGATGATAAAATTCAGATCACACTGGCTGCTGGTGCACGTCCGCGTGAAGCAGAAACAGTCCAGGTGGGCTTCTTTCCTACCAAGAGGTTCCACCACGTTAAGGAACATCAAACAAACGCAGAGCAGAGGTTAGCTTAGAACCCAAGGTGCTCGATTTTTATGAAAAGCTTTGAGCTGGATGACCCTGTACTGATTTTGATGGTATTGCTGTTGAGGTGGGTCACTGTCCTCCACCCAGCAAATGGGGCATGGGTGGCACATGGGGGCAGCTGCTGCACAAAGTGGGGAGGTGGCAGGGTTTAGCGGAGCCATACGGTTTGTGTGTGATAAGCTACACACCTGGTTCTTCTAATGAGAGCAGCTGCAAATTTTACACCTTTCACTTTGAATCAGGCATCAGAGAATGGCATCCATGGGGGTTCTGTGTGGTTCAGCAGGTTGGCGTGATTGGAAGGTTGTTGGGTCAAATCCCAGGGTCAGCAGAATGATTTCACCATTGGGCCCTTGAGTGAGGCTTTTAACCCCAAATGACCTTGACTTGGAGGAAAGTGCTTGCTATGTCAGTATGATACATATAAAAACATTAATAACACAGATGTTGGTTTATTCCCCCCAAAGATCTTTGCATGACACAGCACTGTCTAAGCTGTGAGTGAGTCTTGTCTGTTCTCCTCGCAGGCCTGACCATCCCATCCACCCCTGCTCACCCTCAGCTTCCCCCAGATGTGTCAATGCTTTCCAGATGCTCACCTTCGCTTGGAGTTCAGGAACCCAGAAGGTTATAGGGTCTGGTCCCTTATTATGGCTCTCCGTTGCCGTGGTGTCACTTGTGACGATAACTGCCGAGAAATTGCCCTGGAGTGTGGCAAGCGTCTCAGCAAAGGTCGTGACCCCACAGTGCTCCGTCACACTCGCTGACAGGCGGCCCTGGCGATGACATCATTTGGGACGCTGTCAAAGACGCACCTCGCTTGAAAACGGGGCTTAATATCCAGCTGACGAGTATGAGTGGCAGAGGGTCTTTCTACACTTATCTTGTATTTTCATCTGTCCATCGATCCATCCGTCTTCCATCTGCTTATCCTGAACAGGGCTGCAGGTGAGCCTGGAACCTATGCAAGGTAGCCTAGGGGACAAGGCTGATGGGCTGCCCTTGATTAGATGCCATCTCTGGAAAACATACAATCGGCACACATATGGAGCAAGGGCAAGATTCGAACCCCAGATCCTAAAGGTGCGAAGCAACAGTGCCCCCCTCTGATTCACAGTGATTTTTTTGTTTTTAATCATAAACTCTCCACAGTTATCGAGGTAAAACAATTCATAAATAAACAAATTCGCCTGTGTTTTAACTAAGAAAATATTACAAGTATAATAACGTCCGGGCTGAAGCCACGATTCATAGGATGCATAGGATACAGAAGAAAAGCATGATGGGGAAAAAAGATGTGCGTTGATGCAGTGCTATCTTCAGCGAATTAGGATATTCTTCAGCTGGCCTCCAACAGCAAAACACTGGCCCGTCACAGATAGTAAAACCCGAGTCCTACCATGGCTTTTAATAAACACTGAACCGGTACCTGTCAAGTGTAAACCGATCATTTTTCCTGCGACTTCCCCATGGTTTACACAGCGCAATTCTTACATTATTCAAACATTTGCTTTCAATAAACACACGGGGATATGCGGAGACCCAAGGAGATTTATTTATAATTTGTCACCTGATATTTAAGAGATCTTTCTTTTTTCTTTTTTTTTATACTCGGGAGCGCTCTTCGCTGTATTTGCGGATGCGGCGCGCCGCGGGAATGCGCGTCATGTTCCGCATCCGGCGGCGACACAAGATAAATGAAAAAATAATAATTTTAAAAAGCAAATAAATTAAAGAATATTCCGGGAATCGCGTTAAAGTTACGAAATGCTGCGGCAATCCCCGAAATTAAAATAAGTTTAAAAGGAAGTGCACTAAGAAAGCACTTATCTATGTTTAATATTTTTTCGGCTTAATCTACAGATGCATAAACATCTCGAAGATAAAAAGCACTCAGTGGACAGATTACAAAATAATTAGTGCAAAGTTTTGTGAGGAATGTAAACGGGGCAGCGGGCGCGCCGCCGTTTTTCTGTTTATTATCCAACAGCTGTGAAGTACCCGCTCTCCTGCCCAATGTAAGCAACTGTTTGTCACTTTCCTTTAATAAAACGGACTCTTTGGAGAAACGCCACTTAATCAGGGCTAATATTTCGCTTCTTTTCTGCCTTGTACTCAAAAATAATCGAAGTCAAACAGAGCGCGATGCTGCAGAGAAAAAAGAAACAGAAAAGCGTTTCGAGAGACTCGTGCAGGCAGATTAAACTGCTAATACAGCCTGTCTTTGCTTTACTCTTTGTGATGATGTTGCTTGGATTTCTGAGCAGCAGGTTGCGTTACAGTGATGAATGTGAAATACATTTCCGAGACGCTGAATGTTTCATGGGGTAAAATCCGGACAAAGAATCATCCACATCCAACCCTCTTATGGTTTTATTGTTAATGTAGTATATATGAGTACGTTATTAAAATGGTATTTATGTGCAATGAAAATGATTTATCAGGAAAACGGGATATGGGCGAAGAGTCAGCTGTGAATAATGGTGTACGATACCTCGGCATGGAGAGCGCGCTTTGCGCCGGCGGAAGTAGACGGGACGTCTGGTGCATATGATCATCCAGCAAGCTGAAAACCCTGTGGATCCCCCACCCTTGGAATGAAATCACTGTTCGTGTTGCGAAAGCATGCCCCCCCCCTCACGTCCCCCAATGGCCGTCTCTCCCTGCGGCTCGCTGCCGGCTCTAACCCTCACGGCATTCCTCACATAGCCGATGGGTCACTTTCGC